CCTTGAAGCCGATCTCGGTGTCGAAGCCGTTGGGCAGGCCGCGAACAAAGTCGAGGATGTAGGCATCCTCGCACGCCTTCTCCAAGTCCGCCTGCGTGACCGACTCGGGCTCGATTGAGCCGAGCGACAGGTTCCATCGAATGGTGCCCTCGTACAGGATCGGGTCCTGTGAGACGTACGCCATCTCCTGGCGCAGCATGTCGATGGGCACCTGTCGCACGTCGACACCGCCAAACTCGATGCTTCCTTGGCACGGATCGTAGAAGCGCTGTAGCAGCGCGAGGATCGAGCTCTTGCCCGAGCCAGAGGTGCCGCAGAAGGCGACGCTCTTGCCCGCTGGAATGGTGATGCTGAGCTCCTTGAGTGCTGGGTGATTGGGTCGCTGCGGGTAGCGAAGCTCGATATCGCGCAACACGACATCTTGCGCCGCGTAGCTGCCGTCCTCCACCTTGGCGCGCAACGACGGGTCGAGCGGCGGCAGGCCGTTGGTGTCTGCGACGAGCGGCTTGCGATTGATCCAGCCCGAGACGGTCTTGAACGAGTTGGTCGCGCGGCCATAGTCCGGCACAAAAGTGAATAGCCGTCCGGCGGAGAAGGCAGCGATGATGACGGCCTCGAACGAGGCATAGAGCGCCGTGATGTCGACTTCACGCCTACTGAGCAGCGTTCCGCCCCAGTAGAAGACGAGGGCAGACAGAAGCAGCACCATTGCCTGCGAGACAGCGAAGCCACCCGCTCCGAAGATGAGGTAGCGCGTGCGCTTTGGATCGGCCCGAGCGCGCTCGTCGAACACCCTCATCGTCTCCGCCTCTCGACCGAGCGCAGCTACCGTCTTGATTGCATCGACATTCTCCGAGACGTAGGACGCAGCGCGGTCGGCTGGCTTTTGCGCCACCGACTCGTACTTTTCGAGCATGGCAATGTTGAGCCAGCCCGACATGAAGAGGACAAAGATGGGAGCGAGGCAGACCACCGATGTCTTCCAGGAGAGCACCAGACCGAGGATGACCGAGCCCACGAGGTTGATGCTGCTGACGACGACCTGGGCGAGGACGAGACCCGTGGCGGCGCCGACATTGGCAGGATGGCTGGACACAGCAGCACTCATGGCACCGCTCGCATGCTCCTCGGCGTCGAAGAATCCGATCTCCTGTCGGATCAACGAGGAGAAGCCCTCCTTTTTGAGCTTGCGCATTACGTGCTCCGATGCGGTCTCGAGGAAGAAGCTGCCGATCATGACAATGACGAGATCCGCGAGCGCCAGAATGAGGAACCACAGTGCCCACCGGTTGGTCTCGCTGCGCAGTCGCTGGTTGTCGTTCTCGATGGAAAGCGAGTTGACCGCGCCACCAGTGAGCCAGCCAGCGATGGGGAAGCTGGCACCAGTTGCAACGGATCCCAAAAGGCCGATGGAGAACCAAAATTTCTGATCGTTGAGATACCTGAGGAACGTCTTGCGAAGGCGACGCTTCTCATCCTTCTGTGCCATCTTGCTATGATGCTCGCCGTCACCGTGACTGGTGAGGCTCTTTGCGTCGTCCGCCTTGGCCGTGCCCAGCTCAGTCCCAGCTGCAACAGGGGCCTGTGCTCGGTCAGCCTCTTTGGTCGTAGGAGCCGATTCGGGCGCATGCTCATGCTGCGCCAAGGCGATGCCGGTACGGCCGGAAAAGGCTCGATAGGGGTTGTCTGATGCACGGCTGCTGCGATGTCTGCTGAGTGGGAGGGGTCGGGAGGCGAGATCCAGCGGCTCGTCTGGCACGACGGAAGCCGAACGCTCCGTCGATGCTCCGTCGACCTTGGTCCTTGTGCCGTCGGTCATGCCAGACATGAAGATGGAAAGAGGGTGATCCGGCACGTCGAGCATTTCGCCCGCCGCGCTGTCGTCGCTGACTGCCACCGATGCATCGCTCGACGACGAGTCCGACGACTTTGGATCGCTCGGAGCGTCCTTGCTGCCGGTCTTTGCGTCAGCGCTGGCATCTGCACTGTCGCCCTCGTATTCTGCAAGGTGCCTCTGCTGCATGACCATGCTGCGGTAAAGTCCCGTGTGACCCGCGGTGTTCTTCTTCTCCATCAACGAATTGTGATCGCCCTGCTCTACGATGCGGCCATTCTTGAGGACGACGATCTTGTCGGCATGTTCGATGGTGCTGAGACGATGGGCGATGAGGATGGTGGTCATGCCGCGCTCCTCCTGCTCCTTCTGGAGGGCGAGCTTGATCTTGCTCTCGGTGTCCGAGTCGAGTGCCGAGGTACCTTCGTCGAGACACAGGAGACGGGGCTCGCGCACGAGGGCGCGGGCGATGGCGACTCGCTGACGCTGACCACCCGAAAGGAGACCGGTGCGGCCGCCCGAGATGGGCGTATCCATGCCTTGGGGCAGCTTGGAGACGAAGTGCCAGGCTTCCGCCTTCTGCAGCGCAAGCCTGACTTTGTCGCGAATGGCGGCGGTGCGGTCCGGGTCGTATCCGGCGGCCTGCGGATCTCCATCGACGTCTGGAAGGTACTCCCACTCTGTGCCGGTGAGACCGGTCGCTACATTCTCAAAGACGGAAGCGGTGAAGAGCTGCGGATGCTGCTGTACGATGGCGATCTGCGATCGAAGCCAACGCGTGTTGAGCTCACGCACATCGTGGCCGGCGAAGAGGACGTTGCCCGAGCCGGTGATCCTCCCTTTGCCTGCATCGGCAGCAGGATCGATCTGCTCGACATCCTTTTCGTCGATGCTAGCACTTTTCGGCTTTGACTTTCGGAAGAGCGACTTGGAGGTCGGCTTTTTTTCGTCGTTGGCGTCAGCTTTGGCGGCGTCGCTCTGCTGTGCGGCCTTGGCGTCTTCGTCGTCGTGCGGATGTGGGATGTTGGCGGTCTCTGGGTCGTACTCTCGAAGGAGAAGGCTGGTGATGGTGGACTTGCCCGAGCCGGATGGGCCGACGAGGGCCGTCACCTTTCCGGGCTCGAAGAGGACCGAGACGTCCTTGAGGCTGGCGACGTTGGGGCGGGAAGGGTAGGAGAAGGTGACGTTGTGGAGCTCGAAGCTGGGCGACCAATGCTTGTCATCCGAAGCGGGCACTGCGCCCTGTTCGTTGCGAATGTCGATCTTTGGCACCCTCTCGATGGCCCTGCGCACCTGCTTGATGGCGGTCCAAGCGTCAAAGATGCCTGCGATGTGGGGCACGATGTTGGCGAGGGAGAAGAGTGAGTTGAGGTAGTTCCAGAAGGTGGTGAGGAGGTCGCCGACGAGCAGCTTGCCCTCGGCGATGTTGATGGATCCCCACCAGAAAGCGAGCGAGTAGGTGCAGTTGAGCATAAAGTAGACGGCGCTGGTCTCGAGGCCGCGGATGGCGGACTTGCGCATGCCGAGTTTCTCGAGCGGCTTGAGCATGGCCCTGTCGAAGCGCTTGAGCAGCTGGGACTCCATGCCAAAGGACTGTACGACGCGGACGGAGCCGAGCACCTGTTCGAGGAAGGTGGAGGAGCGGCCTTCGATGCGGAGAGCAGGGGCGCCTACGATCTCGGTGGCCTTGCCGAGGACGGAGAAGATGATCATGGTGAGCGGGAGGAGGGCAAAGAGGACGCCAGCGATTCTGGGCGCCTTGATGAAACCGATGATGGCCGATACGACGAGCGTGGCGCCGGACCAGGAAGCGTAGGCGAGCTTTTCGCCGAAGCCGGCGCGGATGACGGCGATGTCCTTGGAAGCGCGGTTTGCGATCTCTCCTGCGCCGTGGAGGTCAAAGTGGGAAGCGTCCTGAGCGAGGACGGAGGCGACGTAGGTGTGACGAAGGCGCTGTGTGAGGTCGTGGGATGCGGTGGTGAAGCAGGCGAGGAAGAGCCAAGCGAGGAGGAACTCGCCAATGCCGACGATGGTGACGACCCAGCCGATGTAAGAGGAAGCATCGCGGATGTCTTGCGGGCTGGCTGCGCCTGGGGTGACCCTGTTGGTGTAGATACCGTAGAGGAGGTCGAGGGCGGGCATGCCGCATCCTGCCAAGAGGGCGGCTGCAAAGCCGACGACGTAGAGCACACCAGGATGGCGCGCAAATGCCGATGGCGAGGTGAAGGGAGATGGAACGGCGGGGCAGAAGGAGAAGAGGTAGAAGAAGGTGGGCAGACGAGTTCTGTGCGCCTCGAAGGGGAGTCGTGCTGTGCCGCGAGGGGCCTGTGCTGGTGGCTGGGCGTGCATGGTTGTGGAGGTCTATAGGGTTGAAGTCGGCATCACAGGAAAGCGGGGAGCAGGCTCGTGCTACTCTATGGCAGCGCCCTCGGAGACGGGGAAGTGGGGGTGAGGATGAGGGGAGTGGAGAGAAGAGGGCGAGCGCGGATGATGGAGGAACAATATAAAGGCTTGGCGCGGGTGTTGCACTGAGCCAAGCGTCGTACAAACCTCCTCTTCCGACTTTGCGCGAGCCGCCGTCCATCGGATCCTCGGCTCGCGCTGTGGGGTCAGCACATCAGGCACGTCGTACAAAGCAGTGGCCTGCACGCCACCCGGGCCAGACAGTCGTCTATCGGCAACGTGGTCCTGCCATTGTTCCCCCTGACCTCGTTCGAGTCTCGACGCCATCTCGATTCACCACCCAAAAGTGCGGCCCGAGCTGAGAGATATTAGCCGCCTTTTTCGCCAAATTGGCCGATTTGGTGCAGCGGCTCTCTCGACTCTCTCGGCTCGCTGCTGAGTTACCCGACGGGAAGACGGAATCGGATTTTTCGGAAAAAATTGGTCGCAAACGTCAAAAATTGCCTCAGCAGTGCATTTTTCGCAATTTCGCAATTTTGCACAGCCGCGCTAAACGAGACGCGCGATTCGCACAGCGCGACACGCGTTCAATGCGGCTTGGCACAGTCACGACACGCTGCTGGGTGGCAGAGACGAACGGGCAAAAGCGATTCGCGCATTTTTATGCGATGTTTGGCGTGGGAGCATGCCAAGCAACGCAACACCGCGCTGTCGTGACTCGAGAACAAAAGAGACCTCCGCGGTGCTGAGCAATTCGTCAAGGCTACAGGGGAGCGAGTCCGATCCAGTCGCCCGAGGGGTTGCGGCTGAGCACCGTGTAGAGACTCTGCAGCAGCGGCGTACCTGCCACGGCGGGCACAAACGGATTGGTGGTGCCTACCAGCAGACTCAGGCAGCCCAGCATGCTGGCGTCGTTGCTGCGCATCAGGATGTCCGAGTCGTCCACATCCACCTGCGTTCCGTCCGGAAGCACCAGCTGCACGCCCAGCTTCGTATCGCACGCCATCGAGTAGACAATCGGCTCGTCCTTAGACCTCTGCACCTTCAAGCCCGCCCGATTCATGATCGCATCCATCCTCGACGCAGGCAGCATGGAAACCGACGAGCCCGTGTCGAGCAGCAGGTTGATCGCATCCGCCTTGTCCGCACCCTTGGCCGTGATGCTGCTGCCTTCGAGCTGCCAGCCCTCATCGCCCTGGACCGTGTACCGCTTCAGCTTGGGGTATTTGACGTAGTTGTAGCCGCCCACTTCCAGCGTGGGCGTCCCACCCAGATCGAGTGCAATCGTCTCCTGGAATCGTCGCCTCTCCTTGGCCAGGCTGTCCAACACGGGCGCTGGATCGGCATCTGCCTTGCGACCCAGACCCAGCAGTCCGTCGTGCTCCAGCTTGCCGTCGCGTTCGAAAGTCTTGTTGGCTCCACCCACCGTGGCATCGATCTTGATCCTGCCCAGATGCACCACATCGCTATACAGCGTCAGATCCATCTCGCCATCTCCGTATGCCTCGTGGTCCTTGCGTCCTGCTCGACTGGTGGTGGACGCTGCCGGGTCGTACTTGCGCTTGGTCGATGCGCCCGGACAGTCGGCATCCGTGCACGAAGCCAGCACGGCCCAGGTGAGCATCGATCCTGTGTCCGCAGTGAGGTTGAACAGCTGCGTCGGCGTGCCCATCCCTACCTCGGCATTGTAAGTCACGCCCAGCATCTTGGGATACCCTCCAACCGCGTGGAGAGGCAGCATCGTGCCGCGCTTGCGCACCACCGCAATCGCGGAAGCATTGTTCGCGGCAGCATCGCTCGGGCTGGCTAACTTGAAGTCCTCAAAAAGCACCCTGCCTCTGCCGACCGGCTTGGCAGAGCTGGACTTCCAATTGGCATAGCGCGCCACCGTATGCTCGTAGCCAAGCTTGATGTCGCTGACGCTGACCCCGCTTTTACCTCGCAACGCGCTCGGTGCTGCGCCGACACACCACGCGGTGGCCAGCAGCAGTGGGAGCGCACTCAACACCTTGGTGCTGAGCATCTTGAAGTCCTGTATGCGGTTGGAGGATCTACCTGAGAGGAAACCGCTCATCTATATACTCGCGAGGTCCGACGACACGGGGTGATGGACGTGGGCAGAGGACCCTTTCCCCTGCGTCAAAACTGATCCTGCCCGAAGTCCACCTCGCTTCATTAACAAGTTTCCACTATGGACTGCATGACAGCCAATCGACAACCGTCTTTCTCTTTGTTATCGTGCGTGGGGGCTTCAAATGCAGGTATGCAGGTCGCCACCGACCATCCACCCACATGAAGTGGACGCGACCTCCCGACCCACACGCGCCCCGGCATCACATTTGTGTCGACCCGTGATCTCATGAGAATGCCACACCGACGATCTCCACAATGCATCTACAGCTCGGATTTCGGGTCAAAGCTTCCTGGCAGCCTTTCATTCGTGTGTGGCTGGAAGTGTACGCGATGAGGATGGTTGCATCACAGCGACGCCAGCTGGTCTCTGGCGCACTTTGATCTTCTTTTCCTTCCACCCTCTGTGGCGCCAATCATTGACCACAACGTCGTCGCCTTCTTTGAGTTCGAGCGCGTGCGTAAATTCGAGCTCGTGTGCGCTGCACGATCGGGATCAAAGCAACTTTGGTCAGCACTTGCTCCCCGATTTGGACGAATGGACCTGTGCTTTCGCGAAACTTACAGAACGACCATGACGTCGTGGCATGCCTCGAGGCGCGAGAGTGCGGCGAGGGCTCGCATGGCCTTGTCGCGGAACTCCTGCATGCACGCAGCGCTCTCGTCTGGGATGGGCCGGTCAACGATGGCATCGGCGCTGGCGTGGTCAAAGAATCCGGGCGTGGCGCGCGAATCATCCTCGCTGCGGTAGACAGCATCGTGGTGCGGGCGAGCGGAGCAGAGCGATTCGGCACCAAGCTCCAGAGGTGCAGAAAGAGGATGGTACAGCGCCTGCTGGTGCGCCGCAACGCCCGAAAGCAACACCAAGCTCGGCGTTGGTTCGTGCGAAGTCTTGGCCAGCATCACCTGGTGACCGGGACAGTGCCGTTGAACAGAACAAATTTCAGAACACAGCACGCGTACAACTGGCATCCTGAGGCGGGGTCCAACTCACACCCTCGACAGAAGCGATAAAGAGGCTACCGTCTCCAAATCAATCCTGAGCTCGTTCGAACGGGCCCACCTTGGTCTCCTTGACACGGTCGCCATGTGCAGCTTTTGCCTTGACCTGGTTCGTCTCGGTAATCGTGCGATCCTTGAGGAAGCTCGACGGGAACGACTCGTTGCCCTTTTCGTCCCTTTTGGCGCCCCTATTGGCTGCCTCGTCACCGCCTCCGATCCAGTCGAGCGCGCCTGCACCGACAAACACGGGGATCGAGGCGAGAAAGTCGAGCAGATTGCCGTAATGATCGAAATGCGCGTGCGAGAGAATGATGCCCGTCAGCCCGATCTCGTCGATCGTCGCCACGCCAAACTTCTTGAGAAGCACATTCTTGAGCTGGCCATGGTCGTTGAGTTTGGGCACCAGGAGCTTGACCGAGCCGCTCGAGAAGATGGCGGGAAGAATGTCATAGTTCTATCCTCCGCCGGCCTTGTCAGTATCTGGCTTCCGTCGAGCAAGAGCAGGGTGGACTTACATTGCACGCGCCTAGATCCCAGCGCCACTTGGCTGGCTTGCCTTCTTCTTTCGCCGTTCCAGACTTTGGTCCCACACATCATCCGCCCATGCTTGACGATAGCTGTGAACGGTGCCGAGATGGAAAACCGCCACCTTGACTTGCGCATCATTGCTTACCTGGGCTGGGTGGAAGGGTAGCTGGCTCGGGTCGATGCGCGCCGAGGCCGGGATGTGTTTGGTACCCGTCGAAGGGTCCACGGCAACGCACGTAACGAAGCACATCGTCTTTGTTGCGGATAGCCAATGTCGGAAGAGCAAGATGTGATGGTGGGAAGGCGAGCCTGTGCGCCGCGCCGTCGGACGAAAGCTAGGAGACCAGTGCTGACGCATGGAGGTACGAGCTGTTGTCCTGAACCACAGCAACGCCGACCCGGATTGCCGGGCCGCCATGCATCTTTAATGCCGCGGCCAAGACAAAGAGAAAATGACGCACCCGACGCAGGAACAATGGGGACCCCAGCTCGTGTCGAAAATCGCCGCCTCCGCTGCACGCGTGCGTCGCTCCCTGCTTCATCCTCACACCTCCTGGCTCTCCTCCTCGCACAGCGACCATCGTGCCCGGTTGCAATCGATTTCGAGATGGGCTCCACGCAATACGACCGGCTCAGAGTGTCATCCAGTAGCACGATTGAATGAGAAGATCTGACTTGCCTGTCGCGCCGAGCTTATTACGACAATGACAAAGGGGTGGAAGAACTTTAAAGGGGCCGCCGCGCCGTCTTCCTGAAAGCCAAAAGCGCAGAGGAATAGGACATGGAAGCAAGGGCGGACATTATCTCATTCCATGCTCATACGCGAACAAGCGACAAAGGACGAATCAAGAGAGGTCGTCGCTGAGTGAATAGGTGCGTTGCACCCGGTGAACTCCACTCTCGACTTGGCTTATGATTGCCGTCGGTGATGATGCGCTTACTGCGGCTTTTCCTTGTTCGCGCCTACATCGACGGTTTCTGCATCAGCGGACGAGTCGCTGATTCTTCCAGGCGAAGTCGAAGCGGACGCCTCTGGGTCCTCCATGACCTCGAAGAGGCCGATCTTTGCAGCCTCCTGCTCGATCTCCGCAGGTTCGAGTTTGGGCATCTGCTTCGCGATGCGGTAAGCGGGCTTGCCCTCGATGTGCGCCTTTGCAAAGATAAGATCCATCTCTTCGAGCCTTCGTCCGGCGGTTTCGGGGTAGAAGAAGAAGATGATCGGGATCCAGAGGAAGTTGACGAGCGCAAAGAAGAGGTACGCACCCCATCGCGTCGAAGAGATGAACAAGGGGGTGAACATCACCACTGCGAAGTTGCTAATCCAGTTTGTGCATGTAGACACGGAGACGGCAGCGGTTCGTGTGCGCAGCGGGTTGATCTCTGGACTGTACAGCCAAGGAAGCGGTAGGATGGTCCACGCAAACATGGCGATGAAGAGGTACAGACCCACCGCGGCTCCCTTGGCGTTGCTGACGGTTTCGGGAGCGGCAAGACACGCCATGGTGATGATGAATGCGCAGCCCTGTCCGAAAGCTCCGATCATGAACAGATTGCGACGGCCCACCCTCTCCACGAGGAAGAACGACGGGAGCGTAAAGATGACGTATACCGTCGCAAAAACTCCGCCCATGACCAAGGAAAGCCGCCTCGATTGTCGCAACGACGTTTCAAAAAGCACCGTACTATAATATATGCTTGCGTTGCAACCGGTGAATTGCTGTCCGGGGCGAATCGTCGTCGTTGTCAGCGTTTTGATACGATGTCGTATGATGGAATGAGGAGGAGGAGCGTTTGCCGCGACTTTTGGCGCGAGTTTCTCTGTCTCGGCCGAAATACTCCGGGTAACTATCCGCTCCTCCTCGTCCTTCTGCATCTGGACATGCAGCAGATGCATTCCGTGCAACTCACCTGGAAGAATTGGGTCGAAGAACCGATGAGCATGCGTCGGAAGTGCTGGGTTTTGCCGTTGGTGAAAAGATCGGCCAGTCCGCCCTGTTTGCCGGTCTTTTCGATGGCGTCGCGAATGATGCGTGCCTCGAGCTCGATCTCCTCCTTGTTGGCGGTCTCACCCTCGAGGGCGAAGAGGACTTGCTTTGCTTCGTCGTCCCTGCCACGGGCGATGAGCCATCGGGGGGACTCGGGGAGGTTGAATGCGCCCACGAAGAGCATAGCCGCAAAGACGATCTGGAATGCGATCGGGAAGCGCCACTGCACGCTGCTGGGCACGTACGACAGCCCGAAATCGAGCCAGTACGCCACGAACGTTCCTGTTGCCAACCAAAGTCGATCAAGAGGAACGAGGAGGAGAAGGGTTCAGCATGCGTGTCAAATTGCGCGAACAATGGGTCCACGTGGAGAATTGTCCGTGCGCGCTTGGACCGCATATGAAAAAAGGGTCACTTACCGCATGCAATCACCGCGCCTTCCAAGTTAACCAGAAGGCCTCGATTCTTGGCCTTGGACATCTCGGATTGCCATACTGGGATGGTAGCCGTGTTCATTCCGTTTCCGAGTCCTGAGATGACACGTCCGACGACGAATTGGCCGAGCGCCCAGTGACCCTTGAATGGCGTCACCGAGATGACCGTTCCGATGATCATCAGGACAGCACCTACGAGCATCAGAGGTCGTCGACCGATCCTCTCTCCTCGAAGCAGAGTGAAAACAGCGCCGAAAAAGCATCCAAGCTCGTAGCAGCTGGTGACTGCACCTTGTATCACGGTAGCACGGTGAGAGGTGCCCGCAGTCGCAGGGAATTCTTCGTTGAATTTGACACCCGTGATGATACCCGACATGAGCCCTTGGTCGTATCCAAAGAGGCTGAATCCGATCACAGAGGTCGCGGTGATGGCCCAGCGTAGCCGCCGGCCACTCAGGCCCATGGTATTGGTGCGCGATGCGATTTTCGACATGCTGACAGGATGAAATATGGGGGCCC